GTATCGGAGATATAGGAGCACGACGGGATAACAGTGAGCGAGTGTGCCTTGGCGTGGGAGAAGACAGACTCCGAAAGAAGAGCGGCGAGTCCCAGGCCGCGCTTGCTGGGCGGAACGTAGGTGTGGAGAATATCCATAGCTCTGCCGCCCTGTTTCAGCTCGTACACCAGATACGCTTCCTTGTCCTCCGTCTCGAACCTCCGCGATCCCTCGTTCCACAGGATCTTCGGTGCTTCGCCCGCTCCTTCGCTTCCACTGCCCGGCGAAGCCATGACTGTTAGCTCCGTCACTGTATCCAACCCAATTTATTGACTCTTCTTATGCTGCCTTGTTTGGCAAAGTATTCTCGTATCTATTCACACTGATTCATTCCATGTGTAATGGGTTGTTTAGATTTCTTCAATTTTGATTCATTTAAGTGCTGCTCTTTCAATTTTGATTCATTTAAGGAGATCAGTCTGGTCCCCTAAATCAATTTGGTAAGAACTTAGTTGTTGGGATATTGATCTAGAGGCCCAATACCCGGATCAAGAAAGCCCAAGATACCCAGCCCAAGCAACGGGCCCATCACTCTGTGATGAGTAGATCCAGTGAAGAATTCATGCCGAACGAGATTCGGCCCAAATAAGGGTTGGCCCAGAAAGAAAACATACCGAACGGAGATCGGACTATATATCATACTTGGACCAATTTGACAGCGTCTTCAGCAAAGTCCAACATCCCGTTCGAGCAACGGACAACCGGCAAGTGGCCAGGTGCAATTAATGCCAGATTATGACATCAGCAAGTGGAAACATGGGTGACCAAGTCGGTGGAGCAACAGCCAATCAGCACAGGGCAGCCCATGCTCTCCATTAGTATAAATAGAAGGTTTAAAATCATTGTAAGGGTTAGCATTTCAATACTCAGGCTCTAGAATAACATCATTGCTCTTATTTCTTGTATTAAAGCATTGTTTCCGACCTACCGATCGGGAAATTCCTTGTAATCAGACTGGTTAGTTAATACAAGTGAGCTTTCGAGTATTAGTGAGTTCATATCTTATATTTTTTATACACTTTGATTCTGTACCATTCCTGATATATCCAAAGTTCGTGTTGGGCTTTCGGATCTACGGGATTTACCCTCAACATTGGCGCCGTCTGTGGGAACTTACAAAAAGTTTCACATTCAAATCATCCAAAAACCACTATTTTAAAAAAATGGTCAGAATCAGTTCCTATTATACAAACGACGGTTCACGCCGTCACGGAAGGAGTCACACCCCGGGGAGTCAAAACCCTCAGGGACAATCCAGTCGAGGATCGTATCCTCGTTTTGATGGGGATTTTGTGATTCCCGAATCTCTGAGAAGAAATCCTCAGGTCATGCGAGACATGGCCCAGGTCATGCAGCATATGCCGAACGAGGAGGAAGGAGGGTCCAGCTTTACAGGGGAGACTCCACGCACGGAAACAACCACAACGTCATCCCGTTTGCATGCCCATCGGGATAATCGACGTAGCGCCCCACCAACAGCGCACCACAGTCCCAGTGACCGAACCCCGATCGGGTCACAAGCTAGAAGACCAACTCCCGTTGGTCATCATTTCCAGTATGCCGAGCGGGAGAATACCAGGGCCCCTCAACGGCATTGGGACCGGGACTATACGGACATGAGGGCTCCACCACCGCCCCCTTTGACGGCCCAGGAGGAAGAAATGGCCGAGATGAGGAGGCAGATGAATGAGATGCGGGATCAAATGAACAGGGCGCCTGTACAACCTGCCCCAGTTCAGCTGGGAATTACTTCCCCTTTCACCAGGGAACTCATGTACGCAGACATCCAAGGGGGTGTCAAGCCACCGACCGGCCAAATCTATGACGGGGTGGGAGATCCCCATGTGCATTTGAGGAGTTACCAAGGGGGACTCATGCTGCTAGGAGCACCCGAGGCTGCTATTTGCCGGTTGTTTTTTAGTACGCTCAGGGGGCCTGCCCAGGAGTGGTTCGGGACACTGCAGCCCGGGTCAATCAACAGCTTCGTCGAGTTATCGGCGTTATTCTTGGCCCAGTTTGCTTCCAGTGCCAATCCCAAACGGCACTTCAGCTATTTGACCAGCGTGAAGCAAAACGCCAAAGAGACCCTCAATCAATTTCTGAAAAGATGGAGGGATGAAACTTTAACGGTGGGGAACATGACGGATGATACCGCTATTACCCTATTCAAGAATGCTCTCCGAACGGGGGAGTTGTACAAGGAGTTAAAGAAAAACCTGTTAAAACTGGGAAGTTGGGAAACTGTTTTAGAAAATCTGGCGGATTTCTCAGAGTATCGTGTGATCACTTTCCGAATCTAATATTTCGACCCTATGCCTGGGTTACACGAAATTTAGATTATGGGGATAATCACTCTAAGAGACAGTCTAAAAATGAGACACCAATATATAGACCACGAACTAGCAGTTTTAGTAGAACTCGAATTCTTCTGATTACCAAAGAGATAAGGCCAATCAGTTAGAGTTTTACTCTAACAGAAAGTCATTCTATTAAATAATTAATATGGACATGTTTATCCGAAAATAAATTTCCATATTTATTTCTTTAATAAAATAAAATTTTGGTAATCGCTATTTAATTTCGTACCAAGTTTAAATTTAATTTCGTACAAGTGTGCGCTCCGCACCTCCTAACTTGTCTAAAATTAAACTTGAACTCCATTGGTAATCTGTAAATTCCATTACACTAAAATGAACCTGGTGATACTAAAATCACCAACAAAACCCGGGTACGGCATATGCCGAAGTATTGGATAGGGCTCGCAAGCATGCCGCCCTAGAAGAGGAGATAATGATCAGGGATAAGGTCATTGCGCCTGCTGCCCCGATCAGAATGGCCGATCGGCTGGGTCCTAGCCCAGCGGCCGCTATACCTCCCAAGCAAGGGAGATTTACTCCCCTGGTCCTATCAGTAACGACCATTTATCAGCACGAGAGGGACAATATTCCCCTCCCGACTGATTCTGGACAGTTTATGGGGGCGGATGACTCTGCTTTCTGTAAATATCACAACAGGAAGGGTCATGCCACCAACGCCTGCAGGGCCCTACAAACAGCCATCGAGGATTTGATCCGACGGGGTCATCTGGGCAAATACGTGAATAAAGATCCAAATGCTGCGGGCACGTTGAAACCATTCAGGAAACCTAATAGTTGGCGCCGGGATGCCCAACGTGATGCCCAGCCTCAAAATGACGTATATGTTCCCCCCAGGGATGAACCAGAGGGCTCGGGAGGCCCTGGAAAGAAACCTCGAATGGAGGTCAAGGTTATATTTGGGGGCGGGGAGACAGGGGATTCGAATGCCGAACGGAAAAGGTTCGAGCGAAGTCTCTATGTTGGATCCATCTCAACTCCCCCCAGAAGAAAGGCAGAACGGACCCGATCACGTTCGGGCCAGCTGATTTACCCAACTCTCCAAGCCAGCACAGGGATGAACTGGTGGTGAGCATGTGCATTGACAATGCTTTGATCCGCCGAGTACTGATCGATACCGGGAGCAGTGTGAATGTATTGTATCTACAATCATTCGAAAAAATGGGTCTACAAAGAAGTCAACTGACCCACCTACGGACCCCACTGGCAAGTTTCACCGGTAATTGCATTGAGGCTGAGAGGACCATCCAATTGATGGTTGAAGTTGGGGATGAAACGCACAAAGCATCAATCCGAATGACGTTCGTGGTGGTGGATATAAAATGTGCCCACAACGCCATATTGGGCCGACCGGGATTGGAAGATCTGGAGGCAATAGCCTCTGTCCGCCACTCATGCATCAAATTCCCTACTGACACCGGGGTTGGGGTGGCCAGAACTGATCCGACGACAACCCGGACATGTTATCGAGAGGCCCTAAAACAGATGAACACTCGTGGGATGCGGGTTAATACAATTGAGGTGGAAACCCACCGAACGGAGTTCGAGGCGCACCCAGAACCCGCCACTCTTCTTGAACAAATCGACCTCGATTTCTCCCCGAACCGTAAGGTAGCTATCGGGGTAGATCTGGAGGTTGATATCCGGGATGGCGTGATTGCCGTCCTAAAAAAGTTTCAGGTATTATTCGCCTGGGGGCCTGAAGATATGCCCGGTATTGACCCGGAGATAATATGTCACAAACTTGCCGTTTAGCCTGAGGCAAAAACTAGTCCAGCAGAAGAAACGATATCAAGCAACCGAACGACGGGAATTCACAAAGCGGGAGGTGGCCACCTTGCTGAAATTAAAGCACATCCGTCCAGTAATCCACGTAGAATGGCTATCGAATGTGGTTCTAGCCCCCGAAACAATCTACCTGGAGAATGTGCGTGGATTACTCGGATCTGAATAAAGCTTGCCCCATGGACCCCTATCCAGTACCGAGGATCGATCTGCTAGTAGATGAAACTGTTGGATGTGAATTGATAAGCTTCATGGATGCTTTCCGGGGTTACCATCAGATATTCATGCACCCGGCTGATGCAGAGAAAACGGAGTTCGTTACTTCAGATGGTGTGTTTTGCTATATTGTCATGCCATTCGGATTAAAGAACGCAATGGCAACTTTTCAAAGGATGATCGCGATGCTGTTCAAAGAAGTGCTGCGGGTCACAATGGAAGCTTATGTTGATGTCCTATGGCAAGTGGACGCATTACCAAGTGGAGCCTCCTGATCGGGCAATATGAGGTGGATTTCAAGCCTCGACCTACTATCAAAGGACAGACCCTGGCAGATTTCATTGCAGAATGTACCGCCCGGCCCTCAGAAACAGACTCAGAGAACAATGGGTTGGATAACTGGTGGGAAATGTATGTGGATAGAGCAGCTAGTGCCAAGGGTTGTGGAGCTGGAGCTGTGATCACATCGCCCGAGGGTTTCAAAGCATATTATTCCATCCACTTTAACTTCAAGGTAACCAACAATGAGGCTGAATATGAGGCCCTCATTGCTGGTTTAAAATATGCAAAGGCCCTGGGTGCCGATCGGTTGAAAGTCCGGTCGGATAGTCAATTGGTGGTACATCAAGTAAACGACACTGCTGAGGCTAAAGAAGAGAGAATGAAGGCCTACAAGGAGATAGTTGAGGAGCAGATAAGTAAATTTGAACAGGTGGTGCTCGACCAAATATCCAGGATTGAAAATACTGAAGCAGATATCCTATCCAAGTTAGAAAATGCAGCGTTCGACGATCGGGCACAGGAGATCCTGGCTCATATCTAACGTTTTACCCATCGGGAAACATTGGCGACCCCAGCAATCATGGTGCTCCAGATCGAGGCCATATCTTATGCCGTCCCTAGCTGGGTCATAGATATGACCAACTACCTGAAAGACGGAACCCTCCCACAAGATAAAAATCCTGCTTATCAGATAAAATGCATCCAGAGGAGGGCTTCCATGTTCGAATTGGTGGACGGGCAGCTGTACAAAAAGACATTTGGTGGGTCGTATCTGAAATGCCTCCCACCCGATCTAGCGGCGGCCGTAATGGAAGAAATTCATGAAGGTATCTGTTCCAGCCACCAAGGGCCCAAGACACTGGCCAGGAAAATCATCCTGCAAGGGTATTATTGGCCGACTATCCAACAAGACTGCTTTGCACATACTAGGAAATGTAAAGTATGCCAACTGTACGCACCGGTCCCCGGACGGCCTGCCACTTTCTACACTCCAATGACGGTGGCCCTTCCGTTCGCAAGATGGGGGATCGACCTATTAGGTCCTCTCTACCTACGGCCCCTGGGAACAACAAGTATATCATCGTGGGGATAGACTACTTTACCAAATGGGTAGAGGCCGAGCCACTGGCCAGCATCACGGATGTTAAATGTCAAAAGTTTGTCTGGAGGAATATCATTTGCCGTTTCGGAATCCCTGAGCAGATTGTAACTGATAATGGAAGGCAGTTTGTGAGCCGGAATTTTGAGAACTACCTGGTCAAATGGGGAATCAAGCATTCCAGAGCATCCGTGGCGTACCCTCAGGCGAATGGCCAAGTAGAGAATATGAACTGTACTATCATGGATGGTATGAAGAAGAAGCTGGAAGAATACTCCTCATCGTGGCTTGATCAGTTAAATTATATTTTATGGACTTACAGGACCACACCCCGAACGGCCACGGGAGAAACTCCATTTGCCCTCGCCTATGGTTTCCAGGCCAAAGTACCAACGGAGATCCTAGTTCCCACACACCGAACGGTGCATTACAGCCCAGAACAGAATGAGGACAACTTACGGGCCGAATTGCATTTCATAGAAGAAAGAAGGGATCTGGCGGCTGCACGAAAGGAAGAGTATCACAGAGCCACAAGAAGATATTTTGATAAGCAAGTTAAAGTTCGTTCAATCGAGGTAGGGGACCTGGTGCTAAGGAAGCGAGAAAAAAGCAAACCTCTCGAAGGTGGAAAAATGGCACAAAATTGGGAAGGCCCCTACCAAATATGTAAGAAGTATGCTTCAGGAACGTTTGGCCTACAAAATACCGAAGATCGACCGGCAGGTACTTGGAATGTTGAACATCTAAGGAAATTTTATCAGTAAAAACGGCTGTTGCCACCTCTGAAAAAAAAATGTATAGAGAGGGAGACATAACTTCCACATAAACACAGCCCATGGTTAACACGATAATTCTGGATGACCGAATGAGGAACGGGTTAACAACATGGAAGGAAAATCATTCTCAGCTAAGGGAGTTTTTGACCCTAGATTTATGAACGAATAAAGGGATCAAAAACGGCTTGAAGAACTGAGGCTCAGAAAATCGGTTCCCGTGGTTAACACGATCATTCCGGATGACCGAATGACGAACGAGTTAACAGCGTGGAAGGAAAGTCATTCTCAGCCAACGGCTTGGAGTTTGACACTCAGATAGTCTCACCTCAGCGGTTAATATGAGAATCGTTCTGGACAACCGAACGATGAACATATTAGCAGTTTGGAGGGAGACATTATTTCAGCAAGAGTTTTGACCCTGTAATTACGCATTGATGAAGGGATCAAAATGGCCTGGATTCGAGGACAGTGATTCTCACCTCAGCTTGTTAACACGCAAAATCATTCCGGATGACCGAATGATGAACGAGTTAACAGTTTGGAGGGAGCTGAGTCGTCAACTTAGCCAAAGTCGACCCTGTAATTACGTACGGGCAAAGGGATCAAAACGGCTTGGAGATGGTGTCAAGACTGTAAGATATGGATTGACCGAGCGACATTCGGATAAGGTACGGATTGTCGCCCGGGGAATCAGAACTATGGTTTTGAAAAATCTCGCCTCAGTCATTAACTTGATTCGGAAGCGAGTCGCCCTTTTAGCTATAAGTAAGGAATGACCCAATCCGGTGACCTTGCTTACAATTCGAAAAGGGTTACCTCAGACCCCTAATATGGATGATACGAGCCAGAGAGAATAGTTCGAAATGCATCGGAATTATGAGTTTGGAAGGGAGATAGTCTCACCTCAGCTTGTTAACACATGGGATCATTCCGGATGACCGAATGACGAACGAGTTAACAGTTTGGAGGGAGCCCCCGTCCCAGCTGAGAGTTTGACCCTGTGGTCACGATCAAAACGGCTTGGAGGAATTCACCTCAGCTAAGAGTTTTGAACCCGTGGATCACAAACGGAAAAGGGATCAAAACGGGCTCGGGAAGGGTGTCAGAACAATTTTGAAGAGATAGCCTCACCTCAGCTTGTTAACACATGAGATCATTTCGGATGACCGAATGACGAATGGGTTAACAGTTTGGAGGGAGCCCCTGTCCCAGCTGAGAGTTTGACCCTGTGGTCACGATCAAAACGGCTTGGAGGTATTCACCTCAGCTAAGAGTTTTGACCCCGTGGATCACGAACGGAAAAGGGGTCAAAACGGGCTCGGGAAAGGTGTCAGACATAAAGATACATGAGCCGAGTGATATTCGGCCACATAGAAAGGATTGTGAACAAGAAAAATCAAAGGAAAAATAGAAGAAAGACATCAACAATTAAAGAAAAAAGTCCAGTTTATTCTTCGGCATTACTAGCCGGAATATACAAGAAAAACAAAGGATAAAAAAGAAAAAATTACAAGGCTATGCTACTGGAGGATTGCCGTTCGGGGAAGATGGAGGTTGAGAGCTCCCTGCCTGTATTGCATCATCGGGCGCTGCTTTGGACCTTTTCTCCATAATACGGTCATATGTATTCCCGAACAGATCGTCAAAACCTAATTCATTAGGGTCGAACGGCTTCGGGAAATGTTCTAGGATCAAATCGAGGTTCCTATCCAGAAGTAGGTCCTGACTTTGCTTCACAGTTTTCTCGGTCAGGACATCCAAGAAAGATTTCCCTTCCGGCGTGCTGTCCAGGAGATCGATCCCTGCCTTGATGGGATCTTCGCTTTCACGTAAGAATTGGCCAAGGTGAGGTCCCAGGAACTGCCAGGCCGTGTTCTCCAGAGCGACGTTCAGCCCCTTACCCCGTTGAAAATCAACTATCGATTGATGTGCAATTTGGGAAGTGTTGACCGTATATGGTTCGGGCAAATGATCACCAACGGCTTTGTCGAATTTGATCCCAACGGATTCAGCAGCTCGCACCTTGGCCCGGAGTTCTTTAATCTCCCGGTCGCGACGTCGGGATTTTTCCTGCATCTCAGCCAGAGCAGCTTTTGCCTTCTCACCCTCCTTGGCCTGCTCTTGAAGATCGGCCGCTAATTTCCGAGCGGCAGAAAGAAGGGTCTGGTTGTCATCCCGATCGCTGGCCAGGGCCTTCATTTCCTTTTCGGCCGCAAGGAAGGCCTTGTGATAGTATACACCGACCTGAAAACGAGATTGCAAAAGAAGTCAGATAAGATAAAACCAATGAAGAATAGAAAGGTATGAATCAGAATGAGGTGTACCTTGAGTGCTTCCTGGTGACCTGCTTCAAAAAGGTCCGACCAGTGGGTCAAGTTCGTGAAGCTCGGGGGAACCTTGATCGCAGTATGACACCACATGGAAGATGGCATCAGCTCGAACAAATACCTCCCTTCTTATCTGGGCCCCATGTTCGAAAATTCGACAAACATCCGATCATCGATCGGTGCGTCAGAGATAGCCGGAGTTGTCATTTTGGCAGGCGCAGATTTTTTGGGTTCACCCTCCGACCCGGTCAAATCAACCACACGGTCGATCGGGATCAATTGATTGCCATCATTCCCCTTGCGTTTCTTCCGGGTTTGCTCCGCAGAGGCATGATCGGCTATCATTTTCTCCTTGCCTTTGCCGGAAGAAGCCGTCAGAGTAGCGGAAGAGATAGAACGCCGGACGGGTATGGGAGATATCACACCTGCAAAAAATGGGAATAAGAGACAAAGCTAAATTGAAAGAAGGAAGGACGATCGGGTTAAAATCGTGCTACGCTTACCAATTCCGGCAGATAACATGTTTGAAGTAGTGACAAAACTCCGGAGACTTCGGGTTTCTCCCATCCGCAAAGACTCGGCTTGGGAGCGTAGAACGGCATCTACCCTGGGCTGAGAATCCCGAACGGGGTAGGCGTTCCACCTATCCGGAAATGGCAGAGAATCACCTACCCGAACAAACAAAAAACGCTCCTCCCAGTCAGCCGGCGGAGTGAGATTTTCTGTGAACAGCTGACGATCAGAACGAGCTACCAGCTTCAGGTACCCGGTCGTCCAGTAAGGCTGATAGCAGTAGTGGTGGAGGAACAAGTCGACAATTGGAGCGATCCTCAACTCGTGGCATCGAATTATGAAGCCTGTAAGGATGCAGTAGGTACTGGGCACGAACTGGGCAGGTAGTACAGAAACCCGGCGCAAGAACTCCACGATGAACGAATGGAGAGGGAAGCGAAGCCCAGCAGTCAAAGCGTCAAGGTGTACTAGCACGTGCCCCGGTCGATGCCTCATCGGGTGTCTAATAAATCCAGCATAGTATTCCCTTGGTGGGGGCAACATCTGGCTAAGTTGTCGTTCGATATCTTCTGGGAGGCGTTGTTTTTGTTTGCGGATACGAGTAAAATGTAGGGCAATGCGGGGTGGCCGTTCGGGCATTCCCTTGTTATACACCTGGACATCATCACCCGATAGGCATCCATCATCTTGTGGCTGTTCGGTGTGTTTTCCTGCCTGAGGATTGCTGGGTTTAGGGGTTTGGGAAGAAGAGCCTTCGGCCTTGTTTCCAGCAGATGTTTTACTTAGGCGAATCAACGGCATCTCTTCAGATTCTGAGCTAGAGGGGTAATACATAAAAACACTGGGGAAATTCTGGGAATTCTAGAGAGAGAAAGCTTGAAAGTACGCAAGAGAATTCTAAACTTAGAAGGAAAAATGAGGAAACAACAGGAGAAATTAGGGGAAAGCACCTCTCTATAAATAGGGAAAGTGCCGCACAAAACCCTAATCCATGAGCAACATGTGGCATTAAGTGGTTACGATTAATCAGGAGCATTTATGGTTCATCTTTGGGCACGTACCCCGAACGGGCTTACAAAGGATTAATGAAGATCACGGGGAAATGGCTAAAATCTACTTAGATCACCGATTACCGAATGACGTACGGGCTTACAGAGGATTAGCAAAAATCACAGGGACTTGCTGGTTAGAAAAACTGCTAAGTCCTAAAGATTGATCTGAAGCCCGAACGGTTACCAACACATGAAGGAAGCCAAGTGCGGGTAGATTATCAGATTATCTGAAACAAAAAAAAAACTGCTAAGTCCTAAGAATTGATCTGAAGCCCGAACGGCTGAGTCCTAGAAAGAAGGGGGTTTATCCTTGGTAAATTATCAGAACCCTCCAATGCCCGAGCGGTGATCATACGGTGTTAGGAGTGTTAAGTAAAAAAGAAAGTCAGAAAATTGATGAAGTCCAACAAAGCGGGTCGAATCCCGAATGGTGAGCAATCATTCAAAAAAACGCAAAAGAGACAGTATAATATGTTTTGTGCAAAACAAAAGGTCTGTATTCATCGGCTCTACTGGCCGGATAATACAAGCTACTTGAAAGGAAAGAGAATTAAAACGATTAAAAGGAAATTAAACATCTAGATTATTGGCCAGGGGCCCTCTCCTCTCCATCTTCATCCTCGTCTTCATCATCATCAGACGGGGGTTCAGGCTCTCTCCCAGCAGCCCGATCAGCTTCCCGTTGCAGATCTCGCTGGAATTTTTCAAACTGAGCTTGTATAATTTCATCTTGGGGAAGATCAGAAGCCCGAACCGGCCTCCCAAGATTGTTCTGAAGTTGGGCTACAAAAGGACGTAGCAGGACCTGGCCGATCTTGGCATAAATATCTGCAACAATGGAGTCATTCCATTTCTTGCTCTCAGGATCCTTATCCAGAAGAGCCACCCCTGCCGAGAGCCGACCAGCACCTCTAGGAAAACCCTTCAGGTACGCTCCAAAGGCGAACGGGATTTGCGTCCTGGCATGATCGTCCTTGATGATGGAGAATTCATCAGAGGATTTGAATGTTTCCCGGACAGCGGATAGATCCACATTCACCTCATATGGGCCGTCCGGGATGCTGGAAGGCATCTCCTCAAACTTGATCTGTGCGGCCTCGGCAGCGATGACCTTCGCTTGGGAAGCAGCAAGTTGGACCCGAAGGGTACCAAGCTCAGCATCCAGCCTTTGTTTTTCCTCCGCCAAAGCCTTCCGTTCGGTTTCCAAGGAGGTGATGGCAGCAGCAGCGGTTTGCTCAGCAGAGGATTGAGCAATGATTAGTTCCCGTTCCTTGGCCAGACGGGCTTCCCGCATTTGCAAGGTGTACAAACCCATCTACAAGGCACCGTTCGAGAGTTAGTACTGATTACAGAGAATAAAATAAAAACAAAGCGCAAAAGATAATATACCTTCAGTGCGGTCAAGGCCAGGCATTCTTCGGATTGCTCGACCGGTAACTGGGGAAGGGAGAAATTGTTGAACCAGGAGGATGTCGACCAGATCTGGCTCGTGGTAGAACCAGCCCTTTCTAACACCTCGTGAACAGGATCCGATAAAGAGATCCTCTCGACCTGACCAGTGATATGGTCGGTATGAGTCCCGCCTACGTTCGAGGGTTCCCCCTGAACGGAATCAAAGTGTTGGGGGAACTGATGCAGTTGATCAGAACTAAAGCGGTCATCGATCATCATGGCGTCAAAATGATCATGACCGGAGAATTGCTGAATAGGCTCCGGTTGCTGAACGGTCGATGCAGGTTCGGGTTGAGGAGCAGCAGTAGTGGGTGAATCAACTTTTGGATTCCTCTTCATTTTCTTCTTCCTTTTCCCGATCCCGCCAGCAAGGAGCACACGGCTGTCATCCATAGTAGCGTCTGGATTGGGAGCTGAAAAATGACAAAGGAAAATGTTAGTACCAAGCGGCCTTTAGCATGTGAGAAACTAGTAACAAGAAGGGAACGTTTCTCGCACGGGAAGGACCGCCCGGACTATGACACTTGATTCTCAAAACAAGTAAACCCAAGAGAACGGGCAGTACCTATCCCGGCTTTAACAAGCCGATCGGGAGTCAGGTAGGTCATGATATCACAACACTTGTCTTTCTCCACAGCAAGTACGTCCTTATAAATTTCCTCAGTGAGAACCGGGTCGGGAGTCTTGCGAGGAAAGACGTTCCATTTATGAGGGATCAACCCGTCCGGGATAGACACGAAGAAAAACCTATCTTTCCATCCCTTGATTGAGGTTGGATTGCCTTTGAATAGGACGTGGCCCGTTCGGGAACTAGCAGCTAGGTACCCATGAGTTTGTTGAGGGGCTACTTTGAAAAATTGATGAAATAAATCTAAGGTCAGCGAAGCACCGACATCTTTACAACGACAGATAAAGCCCGCCATTGCCCGATAGGAGTTCGGCATGACTTGGGCAGGTACTATTTCATAAAAATTGAAAAATGAAATAAAAAAGGGGTGTAACGGAAATCTAAGCCCAGCCCTCACTGAATCGAAATGGACCACGGTCATCCCAGGGGCATGACGCAGGGGATGAAGCCCAGCTTGCAATCTAAAGTCCACTGGGTCAGGGATTAGGGCCGGAATTTCGGCCCTATTATTGGCAGTCAATTTCTGCCGTCTTGCCCTAATTAAACCTAGGTCGAGGGAATGACGGGGAACATCTTTTGGCCGTCCAGCCGCCATTAAAACCATTTCATCCTCAGATTTTGTGCCATCAGAGCTTTCACCAGAGGAAGATGAAGTGCTAGGAAGGTCCTCCGCCTCAGCCCTGGTATTTGTCGTCGTTTCAGTAGAACCACCGGCGAATGGGACTGTGATGACTTCCACAATGGCAGCGTCACAGTCATCTCCACGGGAGGCCATCTCCGAATCAGAAGAATGCTGTTGAGAACTCATGTCGATCGAGCCAGAAATGAGGATAAAGAATAAAGGGAGGAAGGGTACCTGAGCGACGAAAGTTGGGAGAAATTTCAGAGGAAGCAACGATGCGAGGGAGATTACAGAATCGAAACCCGGATTTGGAAGGTTAAGGGCTAATTTATAGCCTTGAAACCGCCGTATCAAGAACCAATCAGGGAGCGACACGTCATTGGGAGCTTTTAAGCTAAACGCGTGTCTAATGAAAAGACTAAACGACGGTTACCATGATGAATATGGGGAAATGAAGCGGCATCCGTCAAATCACAGCATGGGGAACTGATTACTTCTGTACCCCGATCGCCATTCGGCGAATTGCAACATTGGTATTCATACTTCCTAATGCACTCACTGTTGTTCGAGACATCGGAAGTGGGGGACTTATGTTGGGATATTGACCTAGAGGCCCAATACCCGGATCAAGAAGGCCCAAGATACCCGGCCCAAGTAACGGGCCCATCACTCTGTGATGAGTAGATCCAGTGAAGAATTCATGTCGAACGAGATTCGGCCCAAATAAGGGTTGGCCCAGAAAGAAAACATACCGAACGGAGATCGGACTATATATCATACTTGGGCCAATTTGACAGCGTCTTCAGCAAAGTCCAACATCCCGTTCGAGCAACGGACAACCGGCAACTGGCCAGGTGCAATTAATGCCAGATTATGACATCAGCAAGTGGAAACATGGGTGACCAAGTCGGTGGAGCAACAGCCAATCAGCACAGGGCAACCCATGCTCTCCATTAGTATAAATAGAAGGTTTAAAATCATTGTAAGGGTTAGCATTTCAATACTCAGGCTCTAGAATAGCATCATTGCTTTTATTTCTTGTATTAAAGCATTGTTTCCGACCTACCGATCGGGAAATTCCTTGTAATCAGACTGGTTAGTTAATACAAGTGAGCTTTCGAGTATTAGTGAGTTCATATCTTATATTTTTTATACACTTTGATTCTGTACCATTCCTGATATATCCAAAGTTCGTGTTGGGCTTTCGGATCTACGGGATTTACCCTCAACATTAGTAATGATTAGTTAGGTTCAATTAAATCAATTTCATGTAATTAGGCCTGATCTGCCAGAAATCTGGTTAACCCGGAATCAATTCATGTTCCCTTCGTCGTTAATTAAGGAAAACCCAATCTTTTTACTCGCTCATTAGCATTAGTTTTATTTTTACTCAACCAACCAAATTCGCACAATTGCAATTTATTTTATTTATTTCTTTTTATCGCTGAATTTAGTTAATCTTTAATTCCATTTTGTCCGTCACTGTGGAGACGATACTCGTACTTTCAACAACGTTTCTACAACAATTTTTAAGTGCGAGAAAACATATATCAATTTCCAAAACCATTAATTTTACTCTTTATTTTAACACTATCTTGCAAAATTATTCTACACTTGCAGCAGAAGAACACCGGAAGAGTCATAATTGTAGTACCATGATGTTTTTGCAGAATGTAAATGCTCTTTTCAAAGTGAAGTCAACTTACTGGAGTATACTTTTGGAATTATGCTTTTGTAAAAGTCAGATGAAGTTATTTTGGTTTTTGTTATTTTTATTATCACATATTCAAAGAGGCTTTTGGCCTGGATAACTTATGTTTTTGCAGTTGCCCAATGCACCTTATTTGTTACATTAAACTTACGTTTTTGTAGAACTTATGTTTATTCCCCTGTCGCAAAACCAGTGCACCTTATGTGTTACATTTTGAATGTGTAGATCTCGATCTTTCATGTTTAAATTGTTACTTTTGGTTGAGTAGTTACAAACAAGTAATTATAGTTCATGTACCATATTATTGCCAGAAAAGTACTTGGTAGTAAGAGGTCGTGTTTTTTATTTAAGAAATTAGAAATGTATTTTCGTGAGACGGGTCGGGTCTACCCGACCCGGTTGCGAGACCCAATGGGTATGGGTCCGGAACATTAGTTTTAGACCCGCCGGGTATATGGGTCGGGTCTGGAACCCTATAGAGGCTAACGGGTCCGATTTGAAAAAAAACCATCAATTTTTAAATTCAGAGATTTTGCAAGTATGAATTTTGTTAATTTATTACTAGTAATTATGATAGCCCATTTTTTGTTACGATTTTTTTATATTTGATTTGGTCCGATTTGATCTTGTTTGTTCATGTCTTATCTGGTCTGGTCTAGTCTCTGTGTATTTTATAACTAGCTTTCAAGCCCGTGCGATGTACGGGCAATATGTAATTTAACTAATTTGAAATTTGATTTCTTTCGGATCATATGTAATGTGATTTTTAAAAAAATAAACTTAGTCTAATATAGAGCCCGATAATACTAAAATAAATCGATTAACTTATTTTACTGAAATTGATTAAATCCTGGCTGAATGGGCTGAATGGGTGGAATCTCCTGAATCATGAAAAAAAATTATGTAAAATATATTCCATTTGTGAAGCAAGAAAAGATTATACGAAAAATAGTTAAATTGATCTTCTACATAAGCATCTCAAGTGAACCCGACTTTAAAGAATTCATATCTCACGTCCTCTAAATTACTTTATTTATTGTGTACCTCTAGTTTTTTTCTTCTATTATTCCTCATTCAACTTGATGTGAAATAATGAGTACAAAGTGTTAACTTTTAATAATAAAATGTTACATTTTACTCATTATTTCATCACACCGTAAATGTAAAAAAATAGAGAATTTTTGTGACATTTTACTCATTATTTTGTTACATTGAAAACAATTTTTAATTGTTATGAACATCTAAATTACTTTATTGAGAGTTTTAAAATAATACTTTTCTAGTATTTCTCATTGAACTTGGTATGAAATACACATTTTAACATTTTAAATGCGAGATCTTACATTTTACTCATTAATAAAGACATTATTAATTGAATTGAAATTTTGGGTTTGATTTGGTATGAATTAATATGGTCTGGTAGATGTTTGTTTTACATTTTATGTGAATTATTATTATTATTATTATTGTTATTGTTATTATTATTATTATTATCATTATTATCATTATTATTATTATCATCATCATCATCATCATCATCATATTGGATTAAGAAATCTAGGAATTTGTAAACATATCGCAAGTTTAATTTGGATTATGAATCTATTTCGAAAGTGAAGGCGCATTTAAATTGTAGTTGTAAAATAAAGAAATAACCAAACATATCTACTTTTTTTGCTAGGCCTAAACGTATTTACTTGTGAAAATATACATGCATGTATGTATTTATGTATGATATCAATTTTCATCCTTATTAAATAAGGTAAGCTAAGTATTCTTTTTAAGATTCTATATTAGATTATCTAATAGTTTTAATTCTTTTTTTAATTTCAATTATATGGTGGATATAATGTTTATCATTATTTCAATAATTAAGAAAGAATTCTATGAAGATGGGGCAAAATGCTAAGTATTAACGCAATTGCAAATCCGGGGATTAGAATTTTAATCATTATCTCTTTCGAATTTTTTTTAATCATTATCTCAACATTGAGTTTAGAAAAATAAAATATTAAATTTTAGGAAATGAGACACTATTATTAATTTTTTTTATCAAATTACTTTGAAGACAAAATTAATAGCAATTTGGCTGATTTATCTGTGAAGTGGGCAAAAAATGAATACTTCCATCTCTTTAATAGAATGTAATAAAAATTAAACAAGTATAAAAATAATTAAATGATTGTTACTCCGTGATCATGTGCTTAAAATTTGGTTATTAATTGTTGTGGTTCCAATTACAGAATTTAATACTTATCATATATGTAATGGGTTTTGAAAAAGTTACCAAATTAATTAAGGTGGATTTCTACGGATTTTTGTTTCCATATCAATATGCAATCAAAAATAGAATCTAGCTAATAAAAATAGAAGGTATAAAAATAACTAAATAATTAATATATATATATAATGACATGGTGGGATTATGTGGCGCTTTGTATGCTCTTAAAAAGTTCCTTATATATATAAATATATATATATATATATATATATATATATATATATATATATATATATATATATATATTGTTCATGTATGATCTAGTCTGGTTTGATTTGATCTAGTCTAATCTAGGGCTAAAAACAATCCAATTATTAAAAACATTTATAGTACTTCCTCAAAATACTTAACAAAATGTACATACTTCGTATTTAATTTTTTTTACCACAAAAAGCGACTATATTATTAATAAATCATTAGCCAAAGGGCTTACAATACAGTCTGGAACAATATCGTAACTAATACTATGATCTGAGATAGAGACATGTGTTCTCGCCAAAACGTGAGCCGAACGATTCGTATTTAATTAGGACATGTTCTTACTTTTATATATTTTCAGGACATCCGCAAGTTTAATAAAAGAACATAGGAGAAACCCTCTACTTAATTTTATGAGAACAGGGTCCAGGTATGAGAACAGGGTCCAGGTATGAGAACATAGGAGAAACCCTCTACTTAATGAGAAAAGAAAATGATCTGATGAGATGAGTTATGTGAGGAACCATACTTTTATTTCCAAATGTAAAATAAACTTAAAAGACTAATAAGCCCTCAATTTCTCTCGGATCCGCTTACTTGAAGAATTCTAGCTATTTTTGTTTCCATATCAATATGCAATCAAAAATAGAATCTAGGAATTTGTAAACATATCGCAAGTTTAATTTGGATTATGAATCTATTTCGAAAGTGAAGGCACATTTAAATTATAGTTGTAAAATAAAGAAATAACCAAACATATCTACTTTTTTGCTAGGCCTAAACGTATTTACTTGTGAAAATATACATGCATGTATGTATTTATGTATGATATCAATTTTCATCCTTATTAAATAAGGTAAGCTACTTGATCACAGAAGTATTCTTTTTAAGATTCTATATTAGATTATCTAATAGTTTTAATTCTTTTTTTAATTTCAATTATATGGTGGATATAATGTTTATCATTATTTCAATAATTAAGAAAGAATTCGATGAAGATGGGGCAAAATGCTAAGTATTAACACAATTGCAAATCCGGGGATTAGAATTTTAATCATTATCTCTTTCGAATTTTTTTTAATCATTATCTCAACATTGAGTTTAGAAAAATAAAATATTAAATTTTAGGAAATGAGACACTATTATTATTTTTTTTTTCAAATTACTTTGAAGACAAAATTAATAGCAATTTGGCTGATTTATCTGTTAAGTGGGCAAAAAACGAATACTTCATCTCTTTAATAGAATGTAATAAAAATTAAACAAGTATAAAAATAATTAAATGATTGTTACTCCGTGATTATGTGCTTAAAATTTGGTTATTAATTGTTGTGGTTCCAATTACAGAATTTAATACTTATCATATATGTAATGGGTTTTGAAAAAGTTACCAAATTACAGGAAAGGATCTGTTCAGAAACATGAGCTGTGTCTGAAAGATCTTGTTCTGTGAACATGTCCTGATAATATGTAGCTGCTGCACTCCCAATCTGCTGGATGTCTGTCTCCCAGGTCCCATCTTCTCTCTGGATACTAGAGATGCCCTGCCTTTTTAGCTTTCCTTTGACAAAGTTATGAAAGGTGCTGGTATTACTATCTCCCCCTTTAAGTCATCTTATTCTAGCTTTATGTTTCCAGAAACTCTTTTCCTGTTTATACGCAACAATAAGATCTGCCTGAGCCTTATGCCACCTAGACCTGTTCTCCTCATTAGGGTTGTCACAAAATTCTTTTCTGCCTCATCTGCTTTCTTCTCACATTGTTGCACTCTTTCAAAAATATCTCCAAAAACAGCCTTATTCCATTCTTTGAGATCTTTTTTGAGTTGCTTTAACTTCATAAAGAGGCCTCTAATCCCTCTTCCAAAATTATAAGCACACCAGCTTTTGGCAACCAATTCTTTGAAATTAGGGTGACTGACCCACATATTTTGAAATCTGAATGGCTTTGGGCCAGAAAAGTGATTCAGGTTGCATTTTATAAAAATTGGAGCATGATCAGATGTAGTTTTATTAAGGTGTTTAATGAAAATTTCACCAAAAGTATCCTGGAAAGCTTGGTTTACAAGAATTTTGTCGAGTCTCCTCCAAACCCTACCATTTCTCCTCATACCAGACCAAGTAAACTGACTACCCACCCATGGTAAGTCTAATAAGTCACAATAAGCAATGCAATCATTAAATTCTTCCATACTAGTTAATTCAGGAATGGAATTCCCTTTATGCTCCTCAATAGAAGTAATTGCATTAAGGTCGCCTTCAATAATCCAAGGGCCCTTATTATTATCATACCAATTGGTAAGAAATTCCCAAATGCCCCTTCTCTCCCACACTGTACACTTACCATACACAGAAGTTAGCCAAAAAGTGATAGATCCCATACTCACATAACAATGAATAAGTTGATCTCTATGAGTGATCTGAGAGATAGTCAGAAAAGTAGAGTTCCACATAAGCCATATCTTACATGATGGATGAAGCCAGCAATCAGACATACCAAGGTCTTTCATCAAAGACACACCCTTACTATTATCAACCATAGGTTCACAAATAGAAACCAAATGAATATCCAACTGCCTAATTAAAGTAGATAGTCTTGGGCAGGAGGAAACAAGGCCTCTAACATTCCAAAAGATACTATTCATGAGGAGACAGGTAGAGGAGCTTTTGAAAGCCTTTTGGCTGCATGTCTGGTAAGTATAGATGAAGCTTCTAGCGGAATTCTAGGTTGCCTTTTCCTTCTTGTGACTTGGATGAAACCATCATTTGGGTCTTGACTTGTTTGATTTGTATTTTCCCCATTAGCAGGTATGTTTGCATGTTATTTAGCCCTCTGCTCCTCCTTCTGCCTAACAACATAATCAATTTTGCTTTGCAGTGATGCTGATTCTTCAAGCCATGTCTCCTTATTTGAGATGTAATTTGGTTTTTCTCCTTCTG